CGATTGAACCCTGCACACTGTTGGTTCCCACCACTACACATCTAGATGTGTCTCCCCATGATTACTTGCCCAGCATGCCGGTGTGGCCTTGATCTGCCATGCTTGTGTGTGTGTGTGTGGTGCGTGTGCGTGTGCGTGTGCGTGTGTGTGGGTGTGTGTGTGTGTGTGTTAACTATCACCACAACTTCCCCTATTCCACCCAGATGAGTAGATGCAAAGTCATAGCAACTTTACCTGTATTGCAGACAATGAAGCATTCTCAAGATGAGCCAATCCACCAATGAAACAGTTTTGCACGTGAAGTCAATACCTATTCAGAACCTTACCTTTAAAGAACCAAGGAATCTCACCTTTACAAGCAATGCAACACACTTGAGATGGGCCAACCCAGTAAAAACAATACGAGACACAATAAATTTGTTATATCGTTTTCTTGATGATATTTTCATCAGCTAGCAATGGGAGGCCTCCCATTTTCTTTGTTTTTGTAGTTACCTTCTTACTGTGCCTATCACATACAAGGCTGGCCACTTTGATGATGGTTGAGCGCCAGTTGCCCACATCCCCGTGTGCCTTTACGGCCCACTTGAACGTTATAAAGGAGGCAGAGTAAAAGGGTAAATATATTTTCTGTTCTCTCAACGACGCTCATTCATATGCGTTTACTAGTAGTACAGAAGGACAGGGAGTAGACATCGTGGAGGGGGAAAAAATAAAAATAGAGAGAGCAAGAGCTGTCTCTTATACACATCTAGATGTGTATAAGAGACAGGTGTGTGTGTGTGTGTGTGTGTGTGTGAAATCAGACTTGACTTCGACTTCACTTTCAACATGCATACATGCAGGTGCCGATGGCAAAACAACTTTCTCAAAGTAGGATCAGCAACAAGAGTGCGATGGCGCAGTGCGCCCACACAGAAAACTCAGAGATATGGCCTTCAGCCAGGGACTCAGCTCAAGTCAACTTGTCACATCTTGTAGTTATGGCGTCTGAGCGCCAGTCTAAATTCCCACTCACCATCGGACACACTCACACTCACTCGCACACACATACACACACACTAGGATCTACCCTGAATGTCCATGCACATACACACTACTAACTACTGACTCTGTCCCACTGGCGGCTATGGCCGCCGCCGTCTTCTTCCTCAGTTGCGGCTATGGCCGCTCGCCCTCTTCCGCCTTCGGGCTACTCTGACCACCGATGAACTCAATGCACAAGTCACTCGGGCAGCTTTTCCACGTAGTTCCCCAGATAATAATCGAATGACTGATTGCTGCCTCTTTATTTATGCTGTTTCGTTTCGTGGTCTGGGCCTGCCGATGTCCCAGGCCCTCAAGATGTGCAGTCCCACTCTGGTACTTGCTGCAAACTCGGACTGGACTGGGACTGCTCCTTCGCTTGCCCCTTCGCTTGCCCCTTCGCTTGCCCCTTCGGTGTTTGACTTGGGACTCCTGACCTTCCAGAGATCGACGGACTACCCTTTCAGCCTACGAAAGGTCAAGTTGACTCTTCGAGGACTGTTCTAGCCACGATGTAGTGACCCTTCAGGGGACTTACAGACGACCCTCAGGACTCCTAAACAGCTAACCTACGGATCAAGTCCACACAACCCGAGTTACACACACAAAACATTTGTACATGGTTTTAGGGACAGGTCGCGGGATCAAAACAGACAGCGTCAACGGGCGACTATGGGGATAGGAAGGTATGGGGATGGAGTCTTGGTGTCTGCAATATTGTGCGAACTGGGTGAAACCCTTTCAGTGTGTCTGTGTGTGTGTGTGTTAAAAAATAAAATAAAAATTGTACCTCGCATTCCCTCCTCAAATCATAACAAACCATCCATAACGGAAAAGTATAATAGAAAACGCATGGTTGGCCACGTTTGTGTGGTTCAACGCCAAGTGCCAACACACTCGTCTGCCACTGAAGCGGCACACTTGCACATTGATGCTATATACATATATGTCCTCTTCTCCCTCTCTGACTACGGTTTACAGGGCAGCTCTGTTTGACGATATATGCATTTCATAATCTACAAAAGGGTGGAGTGCAAAAGGCAACTTACCTAAGACAGAGGGCTCCACCAGTAAGAAAGCACCGACCCCATCTGCCAAAAGTCCGAAAAAACTTGGACAGCCCTCCGCGTCGGGCCCACAAAACGACAAACGTAATTAAACGAACCCAACAGCATAACACAAAAGGCTCGACTAACAAAAAAGCACTGGCCACACATGCCAATGGTCTAATTTGTTCTTAGAGCCCTCTGCGACAGCCTACAACGCCACGACAAATCAAAAATACACTGTAGTGCGTGCAATGTCTGTGTGCGGTGTGTGTGTGTAAGAGTCTGTGTGCTTTATGTGCATGTGTGTGGAACACAGACAGACAGAGAGTGAGAGCGCGCGCATGCGAGAGAGAGAGAGAGAGAGAGAGAGAGAGAGAGAGAGAGAGAGAGAGAGAGAGAGAGAGAGAGAGAGATGTTACTTGGATAAGATCTCCGTGACACGTGCGATGAGCTCATCCTTCTTTCCTCCAAGCTTAGCTTTGTGTTCGGCGAGAAAACCCTTCAGCTCTGGAATGGTCAAGTCTGATAGTTTTCCTTCTGCAAACTTCATCTGGACCTGCGGACAAACAAAGAGGTAATGTCAGCTGTCCCTTTTTTTTCTTTTTTTTTTTTTGTTGAAAGGTCATGACGCATGACAATTCTGCCAACCTCCAAGTTTAAACCTAGGGCCGAAATTCAGCAATTAAACTATCGCTTATTAATAAAACACATTCATTCAGGAGAAAAAAAAAAAAAAAAAAAAAATCTTTTGCATACAGTGGCAGAAGGTAACAACCCACAATCACAACTGACATAATGAGTCATATGAACCAACCTTTATTTTTATTTTTATTTTTTATTTTTAAATCTATGACGAGAACAGAGTCAACACACCAGTCAGTCGGAGGGAGCTGGTTGACATTAAACCACCAGCAGTTTTGGTCCTTTCCTTGCCGTCGTTTCCGACAATAGTCAATGGTGATCTTGTTCGTCTTCGTCTTCGTCTTCGTCTTCGTCTTTGTTTTCGTCTTTGTCTTCGTCTTTGTCTTCTTCTTCTTCTTTTTTTTTTTTCTTTTTTTTTTTCCTTAAATCAATTGTGATCTCAGGACGATCAACTGTCTTCTAGGAGGAGCAGTCAACGGTCTTCTAGGAGGAACAGCCCGTGGCTTTCCCGGAACATCTTCCTACCCTGACTTACCTTTGCTGGATACTCTGAAAGAGTCTGAATTTCTCAAGACAGATTTATCACTAACCCTGAGCAGTAAATCCCCGGGAAACAGGACAATCAATGCTTGCAGGGGCCTTCTGATGTTCAGTGGGACGTTGGACCCGTTTTCCAGCAGGTGCTGCTCCCCACCAAGAGATCGAAGCGATAAAAAAAAAAGAAAAAAAAAAGATACGATCATTATGCCTGTATTATTTGGGCCAACTTTCACGTGTTCTATTCGGGGAAGCAGTAGTGTTACGCACCTTTGCTGCTGCCTCTGGAGGATACTCCGCTTTGGTCTTCTTTGAGGCCTTGGCAGCTTCGCCATTGTCGGTCTTCGCTTTTCTCTTTTCTCCAGCTTCTTTCTTCTTCTTGTTTGTTGCATCTTGCAGAGGTACAACCTGCTGCTCTGCCTCATTCATTCCACAACTGAGAGAGGGAACGCCATCGACTGTTCCTGGAACACCACCAACACCACCAACTGTTCCTGGAACACAACTGTTTGTTCCTGGAACACCACCAACTGTTCCTGGAACACAACTGTTTGTTCCTGGAACACTACTGGCAGTGTTTGCTCCTGGAAGACTGTCAACGGTTCCTGGGAGAGTCTTTGGTAGAGAAACACCGCCGCCCATAGATACAGATCCACAAACTTGTCCGATTGTGCCAGCGCTTCCATCTGTGACGGCAGACGTTTCCGCTGCTGTCGCATTCTGAGCAATCGCCGTTGCCTTTACAGATGGAGGATCCTGAACTGTCGACAGTGTCGTCAGCGACGTATCTTTCTGAACCGTCGACACTGTTTTCTTTCCTGCTGCCATTTTCTGAGCCGCTGGCGGAGCATTGTCGGAGCCAACGACAACTTTCTTTCGCCTGCTAGCAGAAGTGTCCTTCGATGTGCCTTTCCCTGCGGCGCTCTGAAACATCCACATGGATATGTTGTATTTGTTGCATAATTAGACAGCATGTCATAAGTCCATGATTACTGCAAAGATGCAGAGCACTATTTCAAAGGGCAAGTTGATGATCATTGCGAAGATTCAACGAGGAAGAGAGCGCAGCTCTCGGCCTCCTAAATTTCCGGAGAGGCTCAATCCAGTTGCCTGGGGCCATGTACTGGTGGTTTAAGCCAGAGAAGGTAGTCCCGGATTTTTTATGGGTTTAGTTTTCCTTTGTTCTCTTGAATTCCGTCCCCCACTGCATCAGGGGCGAGGTCCCACTAGCAAAGAGGATTATTGGATTGAACGCCTGAATCTGGCCGAGTTTGTGGACAAGTGCAAAAAATCGAGATTGAACTCCTTTTTTGCATCTCTGCCTAAAAAACGCCCAGATTCAGGATCTTAATCCAATCCCCGTTGCTAGTGGGACCATGCTCCAGAAGTTCAGAACCCAAAAAAAAAGGAAAAAAACAGAAAAGAAAAGAAAAGAAAAAGAAAAAGAAAAAGAAAAAGAAAAAGAAAAAGAAAAAGAAAAAGAAAAAGAAAAGAAAAGAAAAGAACAAAAGAACAAAAGAAGAGAGATCATGCTGAGAAACAGGCTCCCTGACTGTGTTCTTTTTCTCTATCTGTGTGGTCACATGTGAGAACACTATGTGAGTGTGTATGAGCAAGCGGAGTCCGGATGTATGATGATGTTGTCAAACTTATGAATGTATCTCACCTCATCTGACTGTCATGCTTAGCAGGACGCGAGCACGAACACGATCGGACTGAACTCAGCCCCTTCGACTGTTCCCAAGCTCCCTGGTTTACCCTGAGCATGATATTGAGAAGCCCATATCGTCTTTTTTCTGAGGATATTGCAACCCCCTCCTCTGCCTCACTTCCCACCCCCTACTCCCCACCCCGCACTCCCCAAAACATCAAAGAATGA